CATAAGTTTATATGTAGTACCATCCACCATGAAAAACGCCAGTAATATTAGGAACACACGGACAGGCACAGACGCCCAGGAAGCAGGGGGTATTTCTATGTCATTTAATAGCGCGCTATCTCCTGCTGGTTAAGCCTTCGGTGATGGAAACGCCGTCTCAGCCGGATATTAATATCATCAAGATATTTCCCTAAGATGAATAACGTTCTCATTTCATTACGACGCATAAGGGAGCCTAAAAATAATGCTGACCAATGAAAGAGTCTGAGAAGGTGGGTGTTAGTAAATTGTGGGCGTACGCATATTATTGAGGTGTTTTAATTCAATGTGATTTTGGCTTCTCTTTGTGAAGTTTACGAAGGAATATGATTGTAGTGAGAACAGCATCATCCATTAATAACCAACAAATGCCAAGTATAACTGATAAGGTTATGAAATGAAGGAGCAACACCATAAAACAAATGATTTTCAGGACGCAGGACTACGGATCCGCCCTCCGACTTTCACTGCCGAGGCCAAGAGGGAAGGGCCTCGCGTCAAGCGTCACCGTCTCGACGAATGAATGTTCGTGAAGCTTATTTACATTTGTTACTGTTGTGTGCCTGCGGTTGCTTTGAGGCGCCGGCGAGCGTGCCAAGAGCCCAGTCTATTTGTGCGGGCGTGGGAGCACGTGTCCGCTGCTTCACATGCGCCTCCTGTGGGGCGAGGGAAGGACCTTGCAAGGCAGCTGCGTCGAGACCCTTGACCCGCCTTACCTGTTTGCTGGTGAGGATAATGAAGAGAATGAAGGCACTGCAGACGAAGGCGATTGCTAGGGCGGCTGTGAGCACGACGCCCACCATGAGCACCAGCATGATGACCGCCCCGCCCGGCCGCCCGCCCGTCCGCCGCCAAGACCACCGCCCGCCCGAGGTCACCGTCGCACCCTTGGAGGGTCACAGCGGCGTGCCGACGACGCCCATCGCTCGCCGCTCGTCGCCCGGCCTCTCACTCCGGGCCGAGGCTGGCCATCGCCGTGAGAGGGGGGGCGGGGGAGAGGGCGAAGGGAGGGAGAGGATAAATAGGTAGCGAGATGTAAGGGAGAAAAAGAGGGAGAAAAAGGCAGAGAGAGAGAGGAAAGACAGACAAAGGGAGGAAAAGGAAGAGACCTTTGGCCGTTGGCTTGTCCTCCACGCTGATCTTATGCTGTCTTTCCCATCGCCTCGAAGTCCCTGCAATAAAGAGGAACTTCTCAGTGACGCTAAATAAAAAGGAAAATATCTTTCAGAGTGAAGAACAGCAGCAACGACTACATATAACAAATGGAAGAGGAAAAATGAGACAGAAAAAGAAACGGGACAAATTAAAATCCAAAAAACGGCGTTCAAGAATAACCGTACATTTCCTCCAGCTGTCTAGGGGAAACGAGCATATTTTTTACACGTATTTTTTTCCTTAGCGTGATATCAAAAATATGATCTCAAGACTATACACACACAATCAGAAGGAGGAGATGAATAACGGAGGGGAGGGGGGGATATCATTACTTTATTCTCTTGTTGACCTAGCTCAGAATAAGATAGAAAATGAATCACTGTTATTATATAATCTTTACCAGGTAGACGAATAGATATC